GTCAGATATCATCTATACTTGTCCCATCTATGCCTCGTCCACACTGTGCCTCGACCCCACTGTGCTACCGTTTTTTTTTGTGTCTGTCACTACTTTTTCTCAGCTTTCACTGGACCGATTTCTTTCAACGATATGTCAAAAAATCACAAATCGTATCTAGTCGAATACATTACCCTCAAAAATTGAAAATTTTCCATCGTTCCCCGCAAATGTGGGAAATTTCCAAAAAATTACAATTTTAAAAATCGGTAAATTTTGTCATTTTTTTCACTTTTTTTTCTTAAAACTTCCATAACTTTTTTCAAAAATCAACAAATCAACATAATTTTTTTTATACTAAAACTTTAGATTTTTCCCTTTCATTTGATATCATTTTTTTGAACATTTAACACTGAACCTGCTCACTGGTGGGGATTTAAAATAGCAACTTTTTTACAAAAACTAACTTTTTAAACTTAATTTTTAAAATGTTCCAGAAATACTGTGTCCTTTAAACATATACCAAATTAAAGCTTAGTTTATGTAATATAAAATGAAAAAAAAAATTTGTCCCGACACCGTATCTTCTATGTGCAAANATGTAATATAAAATGAAAAAAAAAATTTGTCCCGACACCGTATCTTCTATGTGCAAATTTATCTTATTTTAAAATATCTTATTAGGGGAATACACTGACTTTCATGAATATTATATAATTTAATTGACATAGAATAAAGTTCATAAGACATAAGAAATTAAACTTATTAAAATTTTTTACTTTATTAAAGTTACAAAAGTAATTTTTAAATTTGAGTTGGCTAAAATAGCCAATTTTATCATGTGACGAAAGCAACGAACAGTTCCCGAGTCGGTAACACTTGTGTCTTTTACGCTAAGGGTACGAGATTTATATCCGTCTGTGGCTATTAATATTTTGCATTTTTTTTTTAAGTTAGAATAAAATTTTTAAATCATTTGATATTTATCTCATTTAGATTCAATAACTTCAATAAATATAAAGGATCCCATCACTATAGTCTCCCCTCGTGAGAAGAAATTTATATTCATATTAATATTATTTTACTATGTGGTTCATTTTGTGGCTACGATTTATTTTGTCAACACTCACTAGACCTATTTTTTTCAACGATACGTCAAATGATTACAATTTGTATTTAGTTTAAGTTATTACTCTTAAAAATTGAAAAAATATTCGTTATTCAAATAAAAAGTAGTTTAACCATAAAAGTATTCAACTATAAAAGTAAATAATTTTACATTGTAATTCGTTAATTTTTTAACTCTATTTGTGTGTGCTACTACCAGTCTATAATATTCCAAATTTTTTTGTAACATGTTGTTATATAAATCATAAATTTAAAAGAAAAATGATTTTTAGTTTCACCTGAATTTAAAGATGGATTTTTACAATTATAATAAAATTTTATAATACGCTCCATTGAGTAAATCTTTTTAACAACTTTTTTTTTATTGGTTTTTTTAGATATATAATCATTAAAATTAGTTAAATTCTGAATATTTCCACTGTAGAATCTTTTTAAACGCCAAAAGTTAATTAGAAATGATTACTATGATTTTTATTTAAGTGATCTATTACAATAAAAATGTAAGAAAAATCAAACTTCTCTGATAAATGTATTGTAAATAGTAATTATAAAATTTCCTGATTGCATATTAATCTTAACAATTTCATTTTTTTCTATTTAATAATGTCAATTTCAAACTTGCAAGTTGAGCTAAAAGTTATAGGAATAAATTAATTTTTTTTTATTAAAACTTTCACTTTAAAGGACAAAGAAAAGTAAATGATTACTTTTAACATATTAAAAATCAAAATCAATAATAATTTGTAAACAATTAATTTTAAAAATTATATAATTTATAATTAAAAGAATTACTAATCTGAGTATAATTAAGGAAGTAGAAGTTGATGTTGCTTTTGTAATTATTCATCAATTTTTTAGAATTAAACACTATCTACAGATTTGCATCGAAGCGTTTCTTATGATAATGATTTTAACCATTGTCAGATTAAATCTATACTGGACCCATCTATGCAACGTCCCCACTATGCCGCGACCCCACTGGGCTGGGTTTTGTTAACTTTTAACCGTTAATTTATCGACATAGATCATACTTAACTTAACTAAACTTGAATAAATTTTTTCCATTAACTTGTCTATCTTTGAAAATATTAAAATTTAGAATTAAGAGTATAAATAAACACAAATATAAGTAAACCCGCCTGATTGATAACAAAATAATTCCATTCTATTTTTATTGAAACTGATTTTATCAAAAAATTATAAATAACTTATTTTTCATCTGATATTTAATATTTAATATCTGATATTTCTTGTTTGATACAAAAAAGTTGCCACATTGTTTTAAAATATCGATATTTTTGATACATAAATTTATCATTGTCATCCCTTGCTAGGATGTGCTGCTGTATGTGATTACTAAATTTGTATTCTTATCTTATATTCCACTTTGAACTAAAATGAATCCTTTAGGTCATTTCCCGGAATAATTAATAAAAATATTATAAATTATAAATATATATATATTTTGTTAACTTTTTCATAAATAATAATGAAATGACCCATTTTTTTTTTTTAAGAAAACAATATAAAAACAATATTTTTCCTGGCTAATCTGACACGCTTAGTAACACATATTTTAATAACTCATAAAATGTATTAACATACTATAATATAGGGTTTATGCTGATAACCATGAATAGTAATTTATTGCAATAAAAAATTGGAATAATGACAATTTCTACATGGAGAGACTTTACCATTGTTAACTCTTGCGATAGAAAACTTCGTGAAACCAATCCTCGTAATTGCAATGCTCCTTGTTACCACAAGATATGTAAACAGCCAACAATTAATCGAGATTGTTTGATCCGATTTGAACACCAACAATTGTTATCCATCCCAAAAGGATACATTTATGTGGGTGATCGCAAAAACGAATCTGACTTCAGAAAATGTTCGGAGGAAAAAAATAAAAAAATTGTTGATAAAAACGTATACAGCCAAATTACCGAGTAATTATATTTAAACAAATGCTTTTAATTTAACTTGTTATATAAATGTTTAATTTTTTGGACTAATGCATTACAGTTTATTATCTGTCAAGTCTAAATTTCAAAATAAAGCCAGTGAACTTGATATTCTCTGTCTTATTTTCAAAAACCTTAAACCAGAATGTGAATCTTCAACGTGGAAACAACGATTTACTATTACATTGACGTACACATTAATGAAAATTATCACAAAAGATATTAGTAGCTATCAAACATTAAGAAGTAAACATATTTCAACATTAACATTAAAAAGATTAAACAGGATTACAGGAGAGCAGACTTCGATAACTTCTCCTAAGAATAAACTACAGCATGTACAAGTTTACTTAGCAAACGCATTAACCCCTTGGCTAGAAAAACCAATCAATCAAATTTGCTCAGATGTCAAAGAAAAAAAACAGTTTGATGATCAAAACAAAAAAAGTAAAGCTAAATTTCAAGTTCTCACTAAAAGAAATTTGTATTATTCAAAAAAAGGTAAAAATATAGTTAACACGTCAGAGCGTCTAATTCATAATGGCTTATTAAAAGTGTCTAAAAAAGAAAACTTCAAAAAACTTATTGGAGAATTAAATGATAAGAATTTGAACTTAAATAAAAATAAAAATAATAATTCTGATCATAGTAATTTGAAATATAAGAAGAAAGAAATTTACAAAAAAAAATTTATAGAGCCTAATACCAAAAATGTTTCTAATAATATGAAAGTAAATAAAAAACCAGAAGATTATGAAATTAATAGTTTTAATAATTATGCAAATAAAAAATTGAGAATAAAGAATACACATAGTTCCAATTCATATGCTTTGAAATTTAAATATTCAATTGATAAAATAAAGAATTCTCGACAATGTAAGATTAAAAAAAAGAATAAAGAATTTAAAGATTTATATCATAGAATGAATTCAAAACAGTCCAACTTAAACAATAAATCCCTTACAAAACAAAAAACTATATCTTATGAATTTTTATTAAGTTCTCGACAATTATCGTCTAAAATTAGATCTAGGAATAATAAGAACATAATGCAAAAACAAAATAATAATTTTTTAATAGCTAAAAAGAATATTAATGAGAAAACTCAAATAATTGACACAAAGAAAAAAATTTCAAAGAGTAATTCTTATCTAAAATATGCTCGTTTTATATTAAATAATAGAAATTCGAAGGATCAGAAGTCGAACAGAAATAAAAAGAAAACTAGTAGTCCTAAAATCACAAACATGAAAGATAATAAAAAAAAATCGAATTCTAAAAATTTAAAAGGAATAAAAAGAATTCCTATCAATATCGACAAAAATATAATTAAAAAACCTTTAACAAACAAAAGGAAATTTAATAATAACCAGACATCCGATAGTCAATTATCTAATACAATTATAAAAAACAAAAGAAAAAAAATAGGTATTAATGATGATTTTTACAAGGCAAATAATAAAAAAAACCCAAATAATAAATATATAATTAATGATCGAGACTTAAACGATATCATGCAAGAGAAATTCGGAAGAACAGAAGAAAATACAAAAATAATTTCTGGTCAAGATGTGGACATTACCGAACTTAAAGTTATTAAATCAGAATTCAACATTTTAAAAAGCAATAATGAAAATATAAATGAAAGTAAATCCAGTAAGGTTGATAATAAAAATCTTATGACTGTAGAAATTGATGGCGAAGAGATAAATACAAACAAAATAGGCGAAAATGGTGAAAAAAATCTTACGGCTAAAGAAAATAAAATGAATGACTTAAGTGTAAATAATCCCGATATGTTTGGTGGAATAAATTCAAAAGAAACTCATGGTGAAGAGATAATTAATAACAAACCTGATATACATAGTACGAAGTCTAACAATAAGAAAAATGTTCAAAAAGAATCAAATATTCTTACATTAAATAGATTAGGCGAAACAGAATATTTTAACAAGTATATGACCAAGTCACAAAATATCGAAGAAAAAATAAAAAATAGAATAATATCAAAAAATATAGAAAATACAGATAAAAATTTGTTTAAAGAGAAAACCAATGAATATAGGATGATTTTAAAAAGTCGAACTTTATCCAATCCTAGTCAGCATTATGTTAAGCATGAAAAAAATAATGAAGATTATTTTAAAATAGATGAAAAAGAAATTACTAAAAATTATGGTAGAATTTTAAAAATTATACTACATAACATACATAATAACCTATTATCACCTGAGTATATTTTAAGAGTGAAAATGTCAAATGTTTTAATAAAATATCATTTGTTTTTTTAAACAAACATTTTTCATATAAAATAGCGGGTCAATAAAATTTTGGCAATTTAAACATAAACATAGTTGAAACTATGAATACGTAAAATATTTATAAGCTTTTTAATTTTTAGACGCTGACAAGAGGAGGTTACAGTGATAGGATCAAAATTTTCATTAAAGTCGTATGAATATATTTTTACATTGAACATATAATTACACTTTTTACGAATTTTTTTCCAATACCCCCTTAAACGAAGACCAACAACTTTTAAAGTTTAAACTTACGTAAAGAGTCCTTTTTATCTCCCAGAAAGCAAAGACATTTATAACCGCGTTAGTTACGCAAGTGTCTGAAGTGATAGAAAATAAAGTTCAATTCCCACGTAATCAATTCGGTAATAGATTTCTACGCTTGCTGTGAGATAAAAAGGTCTATTTACATTAGTTTATATTTTCAAAGTCGTTTTATATTAAGTGAAAATTATATTAAAAATATTAATTTAAAACTGAAAAATATTTTTGATATCATTTTATTTTTAAATAATATTTGTACGATATTTATTATATAGAAGTCGTTTTTCTTCGTTTGAGGGGGTATTGGTAAAATATTAAAAAGAAGTGTAACTTTTTATTCATGTAACTTTTATGAAAATCGATGATCCCGTCACCATGATTTACCCTTGTTAGAACATTTGACATTTTCAAACATTAATTACGAATTTTCGATGAATTTCTTTTTACTTTCTATAATTTTAATTAAATTTTCTACATAATTTCATTTTTCTAAGTATCTATTTTTTTTTAAACTGTATGCTTTACAAATAAATTTTAGGATTGCATACTATTATATAATTATATCATACAGTTATTATTATATATTTATTAAAACATTCTCCTAACGTGGGAATATCATATACTTTATAATTTACTTTATTTATAAGGCTAAGCAAATAATACTTTTTCAGAAGCTATTAAAAATTTTTAATTTTCAAAATGAGAAAAATGTTTTGATACAAAAACTTTTGATATTACGTGATAACACTAGTTTTCATCCCTTCAGGACTAACTTTAATTTTATTGGGAATCCATATTTTAATTTGATAAAAATTTTATTCTTAGGGTAGAATGGGGCTAATTGGCTTTTGTGACAAAATGATTTTATGATTACATTATTTATTACTAGAAAATAAATAAACAAAAAACAATTTTATTTTATTTTTTCAAATTTCAAAATAGCCATTGTTTAGATTTTTTTTTACAAAAAAAATTTTGTAGGTCGATGACAATTAACAGGGTAAGTACACATTGAATTTTAAACATTTTAATACATAAAACCGACATTGAATGAAATCGTAGTATTTGTACATCAGTACAAGCTGTATCCAACCTATTTACCTACTAAACTACATTCCCAAATAAAACATACATTTTTTTTCATTTTTATTCTTATTAGTGATCAATCGTAATCGTAATATTATTTTATAAATCATAAAAATATACTTTAAACGTAGTCTAAAAAATTAATAATTATTTAAAAAAATGTTCACTCTGTGTAAAATAATTTGCTTATAATTAGTTGAACTAACTCAGTAACTGAAAAATTTAATCACAATAATATCCAGGAGCATTACTTTAGGGGTCATTAGATAACCTAAATTAAACTATGGTAAATAAACTTTTCCCATGAAAAAATTCATCATGCGCCATATCTAGGACAAAATGACGATTTTGACTTTTTTATAATTAATTAATAATAATATAATTGGCGTTAATTTATGAAATTTTTGACATTTGGTCTCAATATATCTCTTGAAAAAAGAAATAATTGAGGTTTCATGTATTATAATAACTGAGCAGGGGATATGGTATGGTGCAGTGGACTATTCAGTCACCGTCTTAACGCTTTTTGGTGTTAGTTCTAGAATGCAAGCACTTCTTTGTGCTTGATGTACCAAATATTAATCAACTTTTTTAACATACAGAAAATTCAACCAATAATAATATAGCTGTTGTCAATACAATTTAAGATAATTTAAATAAATAAAATCAATATTTTTTCTGTAATCGTCTATGTTTTATGTTGTTTGTCCCAAGTATTGAAGAAATATACACTGCTATTAACGATACGATTGCAGACATTAAGCATCAAAATTACATACAATAATAGGTACACGTAAAATACAATAAACAATAGAAAGTGCATCACGCAAAAAAAGAAATGTTATATGTAATATAATAAAATTTTTGTATAATGTTATTATTGAGTTGTATAGATAAAATTCATAAATTAAAGGTAATCAATGTTTTTCGCAATTCCAGAATAGACAAATATTTATCGTTAATAGCAAATAAGTTTGTAGTAGCAAATATCATATTATATTCTATTTTTAGATGACGACAATATAGAAAATAGAAATGAAATCAATACCAAAAAAATTTCTACGCAAACAATAAATTTACTGAAAAATTGTTATGATGAAAAGGTAAAAGAACCAAGATTATTTAAGCAAATAAATTATTAAGATTTTTTTAGGAGCTTAATTTTTTAATCTAATTTTTATGTAACACTTACTAATATTTTTTTGATACAGGCATACAAACATTGTATATTGAAAAAGTCTCAAACAATCAATTATCGACAAACTGTTATAAAATATAGAATATGCATTGATGGCAATAGCAATTATATTTTACGAAAAATTGAATTACCTTATAAAACAGATAATGAAAATTTTTTTAAATCAGAAAATATTTCTAATTTTACTATTGAATCCAAGTGTGGAATTAGTGAAAAATACAACACATTTGAGCACAAACATCTTGTAAAAAAATGAGTTGACAAAATGAAATTAATAAAAATTTTAACTAAATTTCACAATGAGGATCTACAATCTATTACAATTATATAATGTGAAATGCTGGACAAATGTATAAATTATATTTATTTTTAGACTGCATTGCAACCTAAATGAACTTATTCAGGTCCAGAACTGATAATAAATTGAGGTGTTTTGTTTCCATTAATGGATATTATTTTATTTAGACTACTTATATAACTAAAATATTTCGTATTTTGTGATATTCGATCATAGGTTTCTAGCCATTCATTAATTGTAATATTCTCTTATCTGCTACCAGTTATATATAAATAGTAATCAATATTTTGGTTTATTTTTTTTCGATGATAAAAAGTATAATTTTGAATGAATTATGCTACTTATTATCTTATATATATTTTCACGATTTCAACAATCCATTTTTTAAATTTTGTGTTCTGAAAACATGTTTGTCGCTAAAACTCACTGTTCGCCGAAAATTCTTCCTCTAACGGAATTTCTATAATAAAATCAAGAGTACTGGATCGCATTCTTGATCCCACCAACAAGGTCGTGACTAGTTTATTTTATTTTAATTTGTGGTTATAATGACCTGAATTTCATAACGTCCAATGACTGGGTCACTTTTTAGAAAAATGATAACTATCATTTTTCTATTTACTTACACGTAAATAAAATTTCAACGTACGTATGCTAAAGTTTTATATATAAAAAAAAAGACCAAGATGGAGTGTGATTTCAAATTTGGTAGTAATAAAATATTAAATTAGGAGAGTAGCGAGGATGTTTTAGTATTATTTTAGATTAGGTTCATAATATGTTTTAATGTTAGGATTTATAATTATTTATAAATTACAAATTAAATAATTAACACGGATAATTCTAGTGTCAATAAAAGTTTTTTTCTTAAATATAATATATGTGACACAAACTGTTTGAACGGAACGCCCGGTAATGATGTGCGGGTTAGTTACTGTTCGTTTCTGGAATATATATATCATGCAGGAGAAAGAAGTAGGGAGTGGACTGTATAAATGAGTAAATGTATTGAAAGAATATAAAACAATAAACTGTATTTTTAACATAAACTAAAATATTATATATATATATCAATGTGGGTAGGGGTGCCCTTAATGCTAATGCAATAATGCGTCAAATAAAACAAATAATAATATAAAAATAAGACAAAACAATATAATTAATAACTACTTATCTATACTGATGATGACGGTTGATGCGAATGAAATCGTTTGCATAATCATTGAACCAGACAAAATGTATTGTCACGAATAGTATAAGCGTATCGCTATATTATGAGTATAAGTGTATGAGCGTATCGCAGGGGCGATAAAAAAATAACGCACAAAGGTGTGACAATCGCAAAGGCGATATATAAGCGTTTTTAACAATTGCGTGCTCGCATGCACCGTAGAGCCATACAACAAAACGAACTAGGATGGGAGCGAAAACGCAAAAAAATGTCACACAAGGGCCGATAATAACTAGGCGACTCACAAGAATCACGCACGTAAGCATCTAACGTAGTGAATCGCTCACACAACCGGTGGTGGTAGTGCGAGAGACATTATCAGTCATAAAAATAAAATGTAGCAAAACGCCCTCTCGTAATGCCTATCCAACACAAACACGAACAAAAATGTCTAAATTACCAGTGCAATGGCACTGGACGAGAGGAAAAAAAAGAGAAATATAAATTTAAATAAACTAATATATATATATATATATATATTTATACATTTTACAATTTAAATAAAAAACATAATACAACTAAATATTTTAGTTTAGATGTTTAAAAGTAACTTTTAATGAACAACACGTGAAGACGG